AAACCTCATCCCATTGGTCTCAGCCCATTGACCTGATTGGTCTCAGGTGTCCAGTCAGGGGCTCCTGTTGTTATTCTGGGGTGAGTCCATTGGAGGCCACCAGGCTGATGAGGGCCTGGAACACATGGCATGTGATGGGAGGCTGGGAGAGCAGAGGTTGTTCAACCTGGAGAGGATAGGCCAGGAAGGAGAGCAGGTTATGGTCTTCCGTTACCTAACAGAGAGGTTGTGCTCCACTTCCAGAGCAGCTCTGGGATCGCCTTTCTTGGAGATGCTCAGTACTCTACTAGAAAAGGGTCTGTTTGGTTGACACTGCTTTGAGCAGGGTGTTGGACTAGAGGCTTCCAAACATCCCTTGCAAACTCAGCTTTGTTCTATGCCTTTGTGAACTTACAGAAGGGTGAAATGCAGTGTCTTCAAGCAGGTTTGGACCATGCATTTGCTAACATTGATGGTCAGTGGGAATGTTCCCTGCTGGGATTATTCTGATAACAAGCTATATCAGAGTTGGTGCAATTCCACATTCCCAGTCTTCCCTGTTCCTGCTCTTTTCCCAGGACTACCTCTTTCCTGGCAGACCTAGGAAGTGTCAAGGGGTCTACAGAGCTACAAGCAGCACAGAAACCTGGCAAAGTGCTGTCTGCTAATTATTTTTCAGTTAATATTTGATTGTAGGTGTTGCTCTGTTGCTTTTTTGTAGATTGCACCTATTATGTAGATATTCTCATGGGTTTCTGAAGAGCTTTGCTCTTGCAGTCTGGATCTGGTCACACAGGCCACTTGTGCTGTGTTGTGTGCTCATTCAGGACTTGTGGATGTTATTCAGAAAAGAAAAGGCAGAAAGAGTGGGTACAGATCTCATTAAGTCAGTGAGTTTGGTTTGTGTCTCTAGGTTGTAAATGCCTTCTGCCAGCAGCAGGACGCTGAGATGAAGGGGAAGGTTTTGACTCGCTTACAGAACATCACAGAGCTGCAGAATGTGCTGGCGAAATGCTTGGCAGGTAAATATGAAACATTTGCACATTCTTGGCCTGTGCCAACTGTGAAGTGAAAGGGATTGGCTTAAACATCAATGGAGGAAGTATATGGTAACACATTTTTACAGTGGCCTGAGACTTAATGCATGGACACCCATTGTTTGCAATTTATCTGAGTCCAAACTGCTCTTCTCAGTCACTTCCTCAGTGACATCTCTTTGATTGTTCCCAGGCAGACTTGGCAGAATCAGCCTGAGTGTGGTGGATACTGGAGTAACCCAGCCTCTGTCCTTAAAGAAACAGCGTGTTTCTCCAGTGTTTAGGTTTTAACAAGCTGTTAAGGGATGCTATAAGCATCCACTGCTGCCAGCTGCTCTAGGCCCGTGAATTCCTTCTGCCTGGTGGCTGGAGCCCAGCATGGACATCACTGGGTCTCTGCTCCAGGCTGATGTGCACAGCTACACAGACTGCCACAGACAAGGTTCTGCCTTCAACAGCACCTATGTATAGGACTCACATAAAACAAGTACAGGCTCCCCAATCTGTTCTTCAGCTGGTTAAGGCTGAGGTTCACTAGTGAAGGCACACACACGACACACTCTAGAGTCATAAGCACATGAACATTTGCAGATCCTATAAGCCCCTCTATCTGTCCATATCCCAGGCCTTCTAATCTGCTCCATGAGTCCCCTACTCACCAGCTGTTCCAGTTTGCTGCTTGCTAGCAAACAGACATGTGCACTAGGACACTCATCTCACAGGCACGGGCTGCACACACACAGCCTATGGAGCCTGTAGAGATGCTCCCAAGATCTATGGCACCTTTAACTACTGACACTGAGACCCTCACTCTCTCCAGTTACTGGCACTGCAGGCCCAGGGTGGTCCAACTCTAGTTGCTGGCCCAGTATTTACTCACACAGGTCTCACCAGTAGTTGGCATTTAGTCTTTATGGCACATGCGTGCGTACACGCACTCACACAGAGGATAGTGAGATTACACTGAAATTCAGTTAAGAAAGTAGTTAATAAGAAGATAGCACAGACTGCTGAGAACAGGCCAAGGTTCAGTCAGGCAAGCATACTAATAGGACAGTTCTGCTTTTGGTTTTTGGCCTTGTCTCCATTATCCCTTGTAGAACAGGTTTATATCTGTCTGTTCTTGTTTATGGCTTCCCTCTTTACTTGTTATCTTCTTTCACACTGAAAAGGTCTGACATGATAAATGTAATGAATACCCTGTCACCTTCCATATAGCCTTACACAACCTTACATCAAGAGCTGTGTTTGCAAACCAACAGACCAACTTCATCTGGAATAACGTGCAGCCTCAAAACTTTTCTGCCGCTCCAAGAGCACTACAAGGCCAGTAAGGAAAGGGCTTAGACGGGCTGGAACAGCCCTTTAAGCTCCACCAACGTGGACAGATGTCCAAGGACAGCTCAGCCCTTGTTATCCTCCCTGGCTGGAGGAATGCAAAGAGCTGTAATTCCAATGCAGTGTGAACATATGATAAGGCAAATCGGAGCTAAATGCACCTAAGGATAAGAGCAGAGGGATGCTCACCAGGATGGTGAAACATATGATACTTCCTGTAGATATATATCTTGCCTGTATTTTGTCGTTTAGGAGCTGAACTAACCCAATTTCTATATTTTGGCTCTTTCAGCAACTCCTGGCTATGTCCCACCGCCAGCTACTTTTGATTCTGAAGCCCTGGAGGCTGTACCATCTGTTAATGCTGTTGGTCCAGTGAAAAAAAGGAATGGTAACGAAAGTTTAAAACATTTAAGCAAACGGACATGATGTGGTGTTTGGCTGCCATCTTGCACTGCAGCCATTGCACTTGTGCGCATAAGGCACAGAATTCCTGGCAAGGTCTATCTAGCTTGAAATCTTATCTGATCAACTCCTGTTGCAGCTGAAGTGGGGATGAAAAGATAGCCTACTCCAAACAGGTGTTGGATAGTCTGTCTCCTTGGGAAAGCTGATGCTTAGCATTTAACCCTGCAAATCCAGGGCTTTCATTGTCTGTTTTCACTTGCCAAAGCATATTCTGTAGCAGTAAGCTGTTCTGCCTTTGATGGGTTGGTGCAGTTGTCTTGTACTGAATCTGTGGCTTGAGCTGCCACAGGTTGTATTTAACTGATCCCTTAGGAAACTTGTCATGGTGCTACTGCTCAAAGAAATGTTTCCCTTATCCTTTTCCATTGCTAGCTCACACACAGAAGAAACAACTTGCCTTTCAGCTTGAAAAGCTGAAGTAGATTTGCTTTGTTCTTTCTCTCTCTAACTTTACTTCTAGATTAGATTAACATTTCCTGGGAATGTGTCTGCCTTTAAGCCAAATTGGACTTCAAAAATTCACATTCCATTCGGAAAACAACTGGAAGAGGCCACAGGTTAGAGACACCTTGTCTCCTGTGCTTTCTCCTTTTGTGCCAAACCCATTCTGTGGGGACTGGACCTGTCACATAAGACTGATTAAAGCAGAAGGAAAGTTATTACTATGTTCTGCAGACAAGAGGAGGATCTGTCACTTCAGATACTGTATTTTGAGCAGTGCTCAGACTAGTAAGCCCAGACCAGCCTAAGAGATTCTTGAGCTCAGCTTATCTTGCCTACAAAAAACCAAAAAAATAAGTGAATGTTGTGATCATGGGTCACAGCCTTGAGAAGATACAGTTCTGACACCAACCTTGCTCCCCCTTTAGGTTTGCAGCGTCTTACTGTGGCTGAACCAAATTAAATAGTTTGCTGCCAGTACACAGGGGAAGGCTTCCCTCTCCCCACACCCCGAGCTGCATGATTTCCTTCCTTGTATTGTTACATGGTAGCTATTTTTACTATTTACTTTTTGGTAGGTTAGCTTTTTGCCATTTCAGCAAGTTGACTCTGCTTAATTGGTGATCAGGGTTCCTGAGTCAGTGCAGGGCAAGTGTCAGGTGTGCGTGACTGGGAACAGGAGAGAGGTAGGAGGAGGAGCAGGACTACTCCTGAGCTGTTAGATCAGCTCAAGCGCTGTCATAAAATTGAACCTAAGGCTATTCCTCAAAGGAGAGAGAACAGGGAGCTCCTTAGAAGAGATGCAGCATATCAAATTCACTTTCCAGTCTGATTCAGAGGGTTTATTTATTATGACTTGGAACACTTTCTCCTGTCTGATCCTATTCTTCCAATGACAAAGCAACAAAAGATGCAGCTTCATTGATATATTCATCTATAGCCTGGGCCTCAGAAAGGATCACAGAGATACAAAAGCAGAAGTCTCTGATGCTCATCAGCACAGCAGTTATAAAGTGGCAGGTTAAAGTGTATGCCAAACTTTGCACTTGTTGGGGGTTTCCCTGAGCATTTCCTTCTCCAGGTTGCTTATGAAGTTGAATACAACCCATTCCTGAAGGACACAAGGACTGATTCCACCTGAAAATTGCACTGCCCTTTGTTCCTTTTCCTTTAACAAGCTTTCAGCCCAAGAAAGCACTACTCCAGTTCAGTTCCTTAACAGTTTCTGGCATAAAAATATTGTCGAAGTCTTTTTGGAAATCTAAATCTCTTCTGGCTGAAGAACCCTTTTTGTCCACATCATATTAGCATCCTGGCAGGCTAGTGAGGCAAGGTTTTCCTTCACAGAAGCCCTGCTGACTTTTCCCCAACAGACTATGCCTGTGTGCTCAGTGGTCTTATTTTCTATTGTAAAGAACTTTGCCAGTTTCCCAGTGATGGAGGACAGACTCACTGGTCTTTAATTCCCTGGATTTCCTTTAGATCCCTTTTTATTAAGTGGAATTATGTTGGCAAGCAGCTCTGAAATGTCACATGTGAATTCCTTTGGTGATTTTGTGTGAATGTCACCTCACCTTGGTGACTTACTGGCCGTCTGTTTGGTCTAATACATCCCGTGCATTGTTTGAAATCAATGTAGTTCTGTTTCTTTGATCTCTCTACTACATAGTGCATCAGGTCCCTACCATCAGGTCAGAATCTCCCAACTGTTGTCAGCAACGAAGACCACTGCAATCAATTCATTGTGTTACTCTGCTGTTGGCTTGGCATCCTTGCAAGTTCTTTCATAGTTTTGTCTTGCCTTCATTTTCCAGGTCCTCTTCCTCTCTCAATACTGTCTGAGAAAGAAACACTAAATTTTGGTTGAAGCATTTTTTTAAGATGAGTCCTACTCATTTTTCTAATCACTTCATAATGTTTAAACTTCAGTAAAAATAGTGATACTTGCTTTAATTTGTTACTCTGATTTTATAAAACAGAAGCTGGCTGTGGGAGAACCCCAAATGCATTTGACTTTTTTGAACTGTGATCCCGGCTATGAATGACACACAACCTGTGCGTGCTCCATGCTTTCTTAGGGCTGATGAAAATACAACCTGTGCAATTTTCCTGATTGTAAGGGCTAGTGTTCAGCACAATGATGCAGCACAGCTTTTGTTTCTGAAGTTGATTTTCTCTTTAAGGAAGGAAAAAAAAGACTGATGGCAGCAAAGCTGGCTCTGCAGATCGTTCTCAAGCAGATGACAGTTCTGAGGGAAACCAGCCTGATACTGAGCTCTCTGAGCTGGAGAAGGTAGGTGTATATCACTGGGGACTTGCAAGAAAGACAGACTAGAGAAGATGACACAGAAGCGTAAACAAAAGCTTTGAGAGAGGGGAGTTGTTTATTTCAAAAGTTAATCACAGCGAAGTGGTTCAATTCTGCTTTCTGATACCTGTCTCCCATCTGTATTTTGAAAATTATCTGCCACTCTCCAGCAGGCAATGTGGTTCAGGGCAGTGCAAATATGTAGGATTATCAATAATACTATTAGTTGCTCTCTGGTTAAGACTATGGAAGGTTTCTAGTTTAAGCCAGTGTCCCATCTCTCAGATGACTGCAGTAACCTGCCATTCCTAGACTCAGGTCAGAAATTGTGAGACGAATCTGGAAAATACAAACCCTGGTAAGGACTGTAGGAGATAGTCTACTGCAGTCACAGGTGCTCCTTTTGCAGATTTTCCTTGAGGTATTTAATCTATGTGTTCATGATAAGGCATCTTTAAAGTTATCCATTTTCATCACACACTAAGAACTATTTTCCAAACTTGTCAAGTAATGAATTATTGGATTTTATTTCTTGTTCTTTTTAATAAATTTTTACAGTTTTGTTATCATGTCTGGAATGCAAGATCTGTGCTGGCAGACAGAGAGAAGCCAAGAAAGTGTGCGCTTCTTTGGGCTCAGCATCATGAGATCTGGGATCTCGTAAGCATTCCACAAGGCCCCACTTCTACCACTGTTCCTAATAAATATTCAGAGTCCATTTTATCAGTTTCAGCCATGCAAATATGTTGCTGCTTCTGCTGTTGTACAGATATGATAACTGAGTCATATATGGTAACAAAGTCACTTAAGTTACAGGATATAAGCAAAGTCTCAAATAATTTTGGGAAGGAATGTGTCTAATCTTTCTTACTTAACTAGATTACTGGTCCCAGACTAGTTCTTAGATGTCCTGCCCAGGACAACAGAATATAGAAATCCTTGTGAGCCACGTGTAACACACATCAGCTCCCCTGACTGGGTTGTGTGATGTTAGTCTCTAACAATTTACAGATTGTCAACTAGGGGCAACAGACCATCCCATAGTTTATCATCCTGGTATTTATCAGACATAAAAACATTTGCCTTCATCTCTTGTCATGCTTACGATGCAAGTCCAGAATGGGTTTTGCAGTGACCACTGAGTCACAGAAAGGAGATACCAAAGATTATTCCAGTTTCCTAAGTATTTTTTTCTAGAAAATTTTTAGTAACTTGTACAGTCCAAAATGCTAACACTTCTGATTCTATGTGCTTGTCTCTACTAGCTATTGTGAATTCTTCTTAGTCTTCTTTTTTTTCAACCTGGCACAAAATATAGAGATCTGTGTGAAAGAAATAGCTTTGTTTGAGCTAGAAGTTCTTACAGCCTTAATTCTGCCATTTACTTTTCAGACTGCTGCTGAGAGAGAGGCAGGAAATCCTCTGGCACAGCTGCAGAGCTATCGCCTGTACTTCCGAGAGCTAGACCTTGAAGTGTTCACTGTACTCCACTGTGGGCTGCTGACAAAGTCTGTCTTGGACACAGAGATGCATACGAAGGTGAATGGAACAGCATAGAACTGTACTGATAAGACTTTGTGTAGCAGCCTCCCCTGGAGGCCTTGGCCCCTTCTGCTTCACTGAAATGGACAGGAGGTTGATGTTAGGATGTGTTGGTCCAGGGCAGTGAGCTAGGTCCCAGGAGAGAATTTGCCCCCAAAGAAACCAAGGTACTTCAAGCACTGAGATAAGGACTTGCCTGAGAGCAGCAGACACGTGTGGTAATGTTAAAAGCAAAGTAATATAGATGTTGCATAAAAGAAAAAAAGATACAGCATAACATGTACAGAGTTAATAGGAAGAAAGGGGCTTTATTAGTGAACACTGCTAAGCTGTAGGATGTTAAATACACAGATTGGAAACTGCACAAATGTGGGACTGGTGTTGTGAATGTGCCCGCAGTGGGCAGGGTCCTGTTTATTATCTGGGAGCTTATATAAAACTGCATTACTCTGGGTGTGGAAAGCAGAAGGGTCTTATTTTGTTACCCTCTTTGTAGGCAGGCTGAGTCCATCTGGAGTCTAATTCTGTAAGGCTACAGTAAGTCTAGTAAAATATGAAAAGGCCGTGGCAGGCTGGAGTACAGCCTGACCTGCACCAAGGTCTCTCTGCATGCAGGCCAACAAGACTGCTTGACAAGTCTCTTGGGCTAGTTGGCATTATTTCAAATTACTTCTTGACTATTACTCGGTGAATTCTGTGACTCTTTGGGCTTAAACCTTTTTTTTTAATCTTTAGGAGCTTATTTTCGATGTCAGTGTAAAGGAATCAGTTCTGTCTCAGTAGTTCAGTGTTACTGACATTGCCTCAGCTATGCTCAGAGTACCAGGTTTGCTTCATGCTTTGAGTAACCAGAACCAATGGCCCATACCTGCAGTGGGGGACACATAAAAACCTAGCACCTCCCAAATAGGTCCCTGGCTGAGGTTAACTAAGCCAGGAGTCTTAACTGGAAATGGAGGGGGTGAACCTGAGCTTCAAGGTACTACAATTATGTGCTGGGTCCCAGGATTGACTATTCTTGTAATTGCAGGCTTGTGAGGTTGTCCAGCTGGGGCCTGCTGAACTTTGCTTCCTTCTGGATGACCTGTGCTGGAAACTGGAACATGTGCTGACCCCAGGCTCCACAAGGAGAGCGCCCTTTCCAAAGGCAAGTGCAGCAGCAGCTGATGGGGCTAGACCTGGGCTGAGGCAGAGCACATCAATGGCCTCCAGGCCTTTCCTGAGAGAAATGTTTTTCAGAATGATTTTCACCTAACAGTTACGTGGAAGTCCTGATGCCCAACTGTGTGTCAGAGCAGCACTTGGTCTTTCAAAAGAGACTTCTGTACCACTTCCCCTGCTGAAGTGTTTGCAGCATCTTATTCTCCTCATGTCTCAGGAAAGGGTGTATAACTGAGGAAATGCCTTGTAGACTCAAAACTCGAGTGACCCTTTTTCCTAGGCTCAGAAGAGCCAAGAGGCAGCTCAGGTTAGGCAGGTCACTTTGCTGCCAAATCCAACAGAAGCTGCTGGATCAGTTTTTCTGCTTTTTTCTGTAGTCTTCACAAGAACACCCTGATTGCAGTGACTCCTTGTATTCCTCGCTGATGCCTTCAGGAGGAAAGTAAACATGTGTGGCCCATTGCATTAAACTATGAAAAATTCACTACAACCTGATGGATTCCTTCGTATTCAGTGTTCTTTCTCCTTGTCCTTCTACCTGTCTTAATTCTTATGTGCAGAGACTGTCTTCTCTTAGCATTTGAGTAAAATGTAAAAGAGCTACATGTCACGTCATTTTTATTCTTTTTATCAAATGTTATCCACTTGTCTGAGCGTTGGTTGTTCAGCACAAGTCAGCTTTTTTATTCTGTGACCCTTCCTGACAGAGTGTATGACATCAGGAATTTTACTGCTCAGAGGCAGTCTAATAGGTAGCAAAGATGCAAAGAGATTCTCAAATAAGGCTGATGAAATTACTTTAATCTTCCGGATTTGTTGCAGGAAAGAGGCTACAAGGATATTGGCTTTTCCCACCTGTGTCAGAGATCCCCCAAGGAAGTTGCTCTGTGTATAGTGAAGCTACTAAAGCCACTGTGTAATCACATGGAGAACATGCACAACTACTTCCAGGTCAGTGGGCAGCAATTTTGACTCAAAAAAGCTGTCAGATTTTGTCACCTCTAAATGTATTTTTGGGGTTTTTTTGTGGGGGAGAAGAGAGTGACTTTGTTTTCTTCAGGTTTTTTAAACATGAAATTTATGGAAATAGATTCTTGTGCCACTGTCTTTCCTCTGAATAGCATTTAATGAATTACTTGTTCTGTATTAAAGGCAGTTGTTACACAAAATCAGGGTGTGGAAGATGACCCCAGAGTGAACATCCAGGAGCACCAGCTTATGTCCTCTTGTTACCAACAGCTGTTACTAACTTTTCACTCTCTGTTTGCTTGGTGAGTTTAAACAAAAGCATATATAGTTGCCTAAATAAGCATAATCTGTTTATTGCTTCCTCTTCTTGTTTCTTTTCTTTCAAGTGTTTGTATGCAGCAAATGGCCTGTCAGCCATGCAGAACAACTTACTGCAGTGGTTGGAGACTTTTAAGCACTTCATAGTTATGTCAAGCTTCATTGCCTGATCCTGAGCTGAACTAAAACTGTAGGTGATTAACAGTGAGTGCACAGTGAGGCACTGAACTGGCTAGAATCCAATGTGGTTTTGGATCAAAACAAGCATAAGTGGCACACTGGCACACCTAGTTGTGCAACTCTCATTCTGCCTAGGGATCTTGGAATGTCTTACCCAGTCAGTCCCCTCATCCTTTGCTAAATTGTCACTGCCTGGATCCTGGGCGACAGGAAAAAGAATTTCTTTTGCCAATAGGAAAGGATGAACGTGTACTTCATTGATGAAAAGCCTGTGCTGCTGATGCACTTTAACTGGATTCATAAATGCCAAACTCAGCAATGCAGGTGCAGCCTGGATGTGACCTCTGCATCTGCTAATATAATCCAGGATAGCGTCATAGAAATTTTTTCTGAACCCTAATTTAGATCTTTGTGCAGAAAGTGGTTTACCTTTGTACTTAAAAAGAGTAGTAATTGCATGTGAGGTCTGAGGTCTGCTTCTCCTGTTGACCCCTTCTGGAGCCTCAGGGATCCTGATCTACTCCTGACTATTTTGGATTGGTCATTTTCTCATTAGCTAGTATGAATGTTGGTTGTTCCTTAGTGTACCCATCTTGAAAACCAAAGAAACTGACCCACTTTGTCACCACAGGCAGCTCAAGATCAGTTTTGCTGTTCAGTTTGAATAGAGAGTAACATAATTCTGTTTTGTTGTAGCCCAGGCAGCCATATATTTGGGGTAGCTGTCAAGCTACTTAAGTCCAACAACCAAATTACACACATTTAATCAAGCCCTCTTATGTCAACAATTGTTAACTAACTTTTGTGTTAAAGGTGCACTTGAGCACCATTATCAAGTCTGTGTGTTCAGTCTACAGCTCTAGAACATGAAGGCATTTGAGCTTTTCCAGAATGCCTAACCTCACTGAATGGTTTCAGACACCAGTAGTGCAAAGTGAAGATCTCTACAGTTTTCCTCCCTGTTAGGCTCTTACCTGTTGTTTAAGAGGCAACCAGCCACTATCACTGCACTTGCACAGCAGCTGTCATTCAGCATCCTCTTTTTTTTCAGGTCTGCATAGCATTGTTTTAGTATATATGGACCTCCACTTACCTCCAGTGGCCTGTCCTCTCCTAGCCAGGTCTGCGGTCTGACTGAAAAGTTAGTATTTTGTGTACCCAAGGGTTTTCATTCCCTGAAAAAGAGGAAGTGTCTATGAACAAAGGTTACTGTCAGAATCAGTTTTCAGTTTTTTGTGTCCCATTATACCTTTCATATTGCAGGGTTCTTCTTGCATATCCAGTTTCTTCACTGTTGCAAAAATATTCCCAGATATGCTTTTGCATCTGATACCTCTCTTCCTGCTAGTCTGATGGTGAACAGGATTTTTTTTTCCTTTCCCCTCAGGAATGGTTTTTCTCAGCATGAAAATGCTGACTTGCTAAGGTCAGCTCTCCAGGTGCTTGCAGACAGGCTAAAGCCAGGAGAGACAGAGTTTCTTCTTCTTGAGGAGCTGATCAGGTAAAATCAGTATTTCCCAAGCTCTGAAGGGAATGACTTTCAAGCTGTTTTTCCTGTTTCGTGTGGACGTTATGGGTAAATGTGTGATTGGGAGCTCTCATAGAGACCATACTACCTTAAGAGAGCTTTGTATTAATTGAATGGTAGTGCAGTCAAACCTCATAAAAATGAGCTACTGGATTATGAAATACGCATTAATCTATGGATCTCATTCATTTGTATGCTATTTGAGACTAGAAGGTTGCACTAGGAAAAGCAGTGTATAAAGGTGTGACTGAGGCTTGAGAGAAGTTTCTTGGTGACCGAACTTTTATCTTTTTTAACTTTTTTTTTACTAGTGGCTGACAATCCCTTATTTAGAAGGGCACTGCTAGAGAGAAACTACTGGGCTAGGGAGGCATTGGATCCGAGCTGGTTTCATACTTCCTTTTTATTTATGTGTTTCTGGCAGATTATCTACACTGTTTTCATATCTTCCCTTTCCTGTCATCCCCAGTGAGAGTTTTCACTACCTACTGAATTTCCAGCAGAGTGTTCCCAGCTTCCACTGTGCATTCATCCTCACTCAGCTCCTGATTGCCATTGCTGAAAAACCAATGGCTGGCTGGAAGAAAGACAAAATGGGTAATGTGTGAAGAATCTCTAATTAGTTTTCATGCTGTCCTTTTCCTGTAAGTCTTGGATTCTACCTCTGGAGTGCATCTTCTGGGGGAGAGATGTCCCTTTTGTATTCTAGTAATCTCACTGGGGTAAACAGTCCTAGCCATTAGTAAAAGGAACTGCAATAAATATATTGAAACCTCCTTGGTATTTGTTTTGCTACGCTTCAGGCACATGCAGGAAGGGAGACTCCAGCTCTCTTAGTTGGTCTCACAGCTTTTAAGAGTTCTAAGAACAAGCCTGCTATTCAATTTTGGTACCAGTTTAATCACTGATTATGGACATGAACATAGATGTAATCTGATGTAACCTCCTAGTGTAAGTACAGATGTCTCAGTATGCTGTGACAGCTCATTTCCAAAAATTATGAAAATGAACTGCAAATACAGCTTTTTCTTCAGGGCAGAGAGAGGAAAACCTGTATGTTAAACCCATGCAACAAATATTTTCAATTAAGAGAACTCTTCACAAGGATTAGGATCCATTCTGTAAGAGGAACAGCATTCAAGCAGATAAGGCATAGACATGCTTGCAGAGAACATACAAGAAAAGGAGTAGGTCTCCACTTTGTCACACACTGAAATAAAGACCCCAGACACAGTCACCCCTCTCAGCCATACCTTGTCATACTGAGACACCTCTAGAATTTGTCCTTAGATCCCCATAGCCACTCAGAATTGTAAGTTCCCTACTCTGAGATTAGTTTACTATTTTAAATAGTCCCACTCTGGAAGAACTGCCCACTGAGTATGACCTGGAATAACCAATTTTAACTAGTAAATTCCTGGTCTTAAACACTTTCGCAAGAGACAAACAGGTTTGTCAGCAGTTTTGATTTAAGAAATCTGTAAACTTTAAACTTGCCTTTTCACATTTATTATTCTAGCGCTGTTGCCAAAAAGTCAAGTGACTTGTTACTGTAATTCCATTTCTATAAATGGATCCCCTAAGGGTTACATATGGCCCTAATTAGAAACAAATGGTTGGCACGCTGTAGGAGCTACCAAACAAATAATGCTCAACGTAAGTTTGGTCAGAGAGAGAGGGATCACAGTTCTGATGTGAATGGGTATTCCAGACCAGGAACACACTGGATGTTCATATATTTTATTATCGTGATACATGTCCTTGTGGCCTTACTGCTTTTTAGGAGAAATGTATTCTGACTTAACAAAGTTTTCAGGCATGTTGAGAAGTAGCAATATTGTGATCTTTCAAAAAGCCATTGGGACACGCTGCCTTTATAGGGAAGAAGAAAATGGTATTGGATTCTTGCAGTACATGGGAAATTAAACACATCTACTTTCTTCAATAAGTCATCCCTTATCTTTTACAGCTTCCCTAGCAAAGCAGTTCCTCTGCCGGTCATGGGTGAAGCCTGGTGGAGACCGAGAGAAGGGCAGCCAGTTCAACAGCGCACTGCATACTCTGCTCTGGTGAGGCACAAGCCATTGTCTCAAGCATGCTGAGGTGTTCTTTTCCTAGTAATTACTGCTGCTGCAGAGGAATGCAGCAAACCCAGGAGAGCACTACAACGTTACCCATATTGGTTGGTACTTTAATCTCTACCTGTAAGCTGTCAGTTGGCTCATCACCCATCCTCAGGCAGAGATCCATGCATTCCAGCCATTCTCTCATATAAAGGGCAACTCCATAATCTCCTCTTCTTTCCAGCCTGTCCTTCCTAAATAGCAGAATGAGGAAATATTAAATCCAGGTTTGTTTCAGATCATGGTAGCTTTTCATGATGTTTCTGTGACAGTTTTCAGTATTGCTTTGGATTTCCTACATATGATTGCCTTTGGCATAAGAATGAGCTTGGCAATTTTAGGCCACATGTTGCAGGTAGGGCAGCGTTCAAGAACCTGCTGTGTTATTTTGTGTAATATTTACTGATGAACTACACTGCTGTTGGATTTAGTGTCTACCTGGAGCACACAGATAACATCCTGAAAGCTATAGAAGAAATCTCCAGTGTTGGTGTTCCTGAACTGATAAACTCTGCCAAAGATGGATGTTCTTCTACTTATCCTACACTAAGCAGGTAATTATATCAGTAGAGGCTTTGAATTTCATGAGATGCACAATGGCAATTTCTGCTTTTTAGTATTTATTTTTTTTATTTTGTGGTCTATTATTGTTTCATGTTAGTACTGCTGTGGACTACTCTGGGCATTTGTAAACATTTTTTTGGCAGTACGCAACATGTTAGTACATTATTAGCTTTACGTCAAGGAGGAATGGCCTTGTGCATTAACACAATGTTGAGATGTTTATTTGTGAGCCATTTTAATTGGAGAATGAACTGTTATCTGTTGTCAGGTATGTTGCCTCTTTCTGTGCTACTGTGGTGGTATAAAGCACTCCAGAAGTCAGCCTTAGAGGCCTGGGGTTGGCTGTAAAGCAATCCTGGGCTGGTATGCAGCATGCAAAAAGCACACTCGGGGTGTTTCTGCTCCTGCCACGGGAATTTGGAAAAACAGTTTACACAGGGATGGCCAAAGTTTCTGCACTTTAGAACTACCAAAATCATCCTATGCTGACAGCTGCAAACCTTTTGCTGTGCGAAGCCTTTTGCGGAGCTACAAAGAAGTGGGTGGTGTCTATGTGTGGTTCATACTGATGAAGTGGTAGTGACTTCCCAGGATTCTGTATTCGTCTGGGCGATGAGTCAGAGCTAGACATGCTTATGAGCCCTAGGGTCAATCTCCTATGATTTACTATTGAGCAGGATGCCCAGCTGGGTAACCTTCAAGATTACCACATTGTTCTGGGGACAAGAAACCTATCTAGATGCCCAGAGCTGGCTTTTAGTTTTGCTCTCATTTTCTCCACAGGCAGACATTCCCGGTTTTCTTCCGAGTAATGATGGCTCAGCTAGAGAGTTCAGTGAAAAGCATCCCAGCTGGAAAACCATCAGACTCAAGTGAGGTAGGAAAATACGGTTTTCTGACGTGGTTTGTCCCATGTCAGAAATCTAGTAAGTCCAGCAGAAGCTATAACCAGAAAACAGGTAGTAATCAGCAAAATACTAAGCTCTGCAGTTGGTCTGCTCGCCTGTGTGGGAGCACAAAAATATTTTTGCAACCAAGTGCCGCTCTGAGAGCAAGGAAGTGTGTTAATTCTTAGTATTTTAAGCCATGTGGGCACTTCTCTGGTTGGAATTGCCATCAACTGGTTTTGCTGTGATACATCTGCCTGTGGTGAAGCTTTGTTCCTCTGTCTTCAACAACAACGACGCTTTGGGTACAGCAAATGCTGAGAGAGCATCCAGCAGGGTGAGAGGAAATACACCAGCTTGGGTTATTGTCCCTTTGCATCCCATTAGGTGCAACTGGAGAAGCTGCTGCGGTGGAACATTGCTGTTCGGAATTTCCACATCCTCATTAACTTGGTCAAGGTGAGATTCTGGTTGTTTTTGTGACTCTACCTTCAGATTCCCAGCAAAGCCCAGTAAACCCAGGTTCATGATCACAAGGGAAAAAAGTGAAGTATGGCTGACTAGTGGAACAACCTGGAGGTTGTAAATAACGCCAGTTATAATCTGTGTGCAAGGGTTTCCATTTAGCTCTCACTTCAACACTACTTAATTCTTACAGTCTGCACATCTTAGTTACTACGTTAGTAACATAGTTCTCACACAATTAATATGTGTGCACAGAGACAGGATGATGTAAGGAAGTGCAGAAAAAGGACAGAACTAACACACTCATTCTCTAGTACAGTGTTTTGTGTCTGACAGAGTCCACTGACAGCTGTGGAAGAGGGAGATGGGAGAAACCCTTCAGGTAGTTCTGAAATAACATCTGACAGAAGGAAACATTCTCCCTATGTACTCAGCTGAGGGCAGGCTAGTACTCTGAATAGAAGGCTTAGATTCCTGTTTGTAACCTGCATTCAGTGCTTATCTGATAGCCCGCAAGCTTCACTTGCTCTTATGGTAACATACGATCTTCCTCTGAATCCTGCTGACACTTCACGTTGTCCTGCAGTGATGAACTCTAAAGGCCAGCCTCACTGGATGAAATATTCCCTTCCATCAGTTTTGGAGCTGGTTCATTCAGTGTCACCAAGTGTGACAATTTTTTGGGTAGAAGGTGATAGGTACAGCTGCACTTTTCTCCTTGCTTAGGTTGATCATTACTGTTTGCTTTTGTATGCACATCATATTCAAAGTGATGACTGGCAAGTCCAGCTTTTTCAAGTTCAGCTTATGAGCCCTGGTGAATTTAGCTGGATTCACTGGAGCCCTACCTGTGCTCCAGATGCCTTTTGAGAGCATAAAGGGTAGAGATGGACCAGCTGGTTCTGTTTTGCAACCCATAGTAGCACCAGCATGCCCTCACAGCTCTCACTCACATGTATGTGCTAACATTGACTAGTTACAGAATTGGTCACTGGCAAAAATATATACACAAATGTATACCAGAAGAAAGCCTTCAAGAGAGCTGAGACCATCTGTTCCATTTCATGTTTGATACTGGACCACTGTGTGACCAGTGCAGTGACACCTGGTGTCTTTCGCCAGCCGCTACTTTTAATGTTTCATTATTTCCTCCAAAATACATTATTTTGCACATCTCAGTTTTGCTTTGTCCATTATGTGGTTACTTGCCCATCAGATGGACTTGGGTCTCTTGGGTCCCAAACTATTAAGATTGAGATAATTCTGTGCCATCTGCAAAAGGTGCACCTTAGATCACCAAGTAGCCACCCTGCCAAGTGCTTCTGCCTGACAGCCACTACATTTCAGATGCTTATGTAGCGTTCTCTGTTAAAACCTGAGAATGGATGTTGCCTTAGAATAGGTTTCACATTTTAAGGCAGGGTATGTAATGAAGGGCTATTTTTAATTGGCTGCTGTGCTTACATTGTTTCCTTTAGACTTGTGGACTGATCTGGCTCTTTTTTTCCTCTTGCCCAAGTAGGTATTTGACAGCAGGCCTGTACTCAGCATCTGTCTGAAGGTAAGAAAGAATTCAAAATGACTGAAGAGAGCAGTTTAAGTACCAGCTTTCTTGAATCATTGCCTCCAGTGGAGTAGAGTGGTTACTGAATTCTCTGAAAGAAGCAAATACAGTTTCCTACACCTTTAACTGTCTTCCACTAGTCCTCATCGTATGGCTCAACCACAACATACTTACTGCAATTGGCATTAGTAACTTTAGACTCTTCCCCCTCTTTCCTTTTCCCATGGTTCTTCAGATGAGAGGAGATGATGATGGGACCTTGTCCTTTTAGCCTCTCTTTGCAGTGATTGAAGTGGGACACTTTACTGATCCTGCATCTTTCAGTACAGCCTTCACATAAATACAGCCTTTTACTAAGTGAGAACAGTCTCTGGGGTAGCTTGAAAGAATGTATCATTACCTTATCTGACTTTGTGATGGTTCTTCGAAAAGGAATTTAAATTTGCCTTCTGATATATTTATAATTCTTTTATAGTACGGCCGTCTCTTTGTAGAAGCGTTTCTGAAGCTTGCCATGCCTCTCCTGGACTACAGCTTTAAAAAGCACAGGGTAAGCCTTTTGGAAGCAGAACTGTCTGGAGCCAGTTAGGAAGCAGGACTTGCTAGAAGGAGACTCCTGTCTTTGGTCACATGTTGGCATGACACCTGTGACACTTCATGACAAACACATCCAACGTTTCCAGCTGTGCTCTGCCCTGTTTACGTGCCCGTCCAGTGCTCTCTCAGCAAACAGATCTCTGTTTCCCAACTTACCATCACTCTTCTGGTTGGAACATCCCATTCGTCTGATGTTTCCTGTATATGTGTGTGATATCTCTATCCCATAAACCTTTAAAGGATTGCTAGGATTAAAACTGTTTCATTATTTTTGTTTCCCTTATGGAAAAATCCTTTGAGAATTATTTGCTGGTCTACTTATTTATTGCAGGACGATGTGCAGAGTTTGCTGAAAACCTTGCAGCTGAGTACCAGACAACTTCATCACATGTGTGGCCATTCCAAGGTAAGATAAGTTCTAATTGCAGCACAAACTCCTGTCTGAAGAATGATTTATTTCCCTTGCACTGCTTTTCCAGGGCAGAGGCAGGTTCTACTTGCAGGCTTCCAGCAGTGTCTGTATAAGCAAAAACTCTGAAAGGAGGAGAAATAGCTTTGATTAATGGCCCAGAAGTTGAAGTCTTTTATCTGGAAGTGGCTAACTTGTCAGATCACGTTAGCGTATTCTGTTTTAGGACAGAAGTTCTTGACATCTTTGGTTGTTGGCATCTGTAAGAGGGTGTTTCTGAGGGCACAAGCTAAGACATTAGAGACCTTGCATAGAATATAGGTGCCAGAGTGGTAATGCTGGAGAGAAGCTTTGGCAAAGATCAACAGCCTTGTGAGTCCGAAGAATCAGCAACAGGAGGTGGACAAGGGGAAAACTTTACTCAAAGTCCTCTTGAGGTGCCTTTTTGGCACTGTTACGTTGATATTAGGGAAGAGGGCAAAAGGAGGGGAGGAAGAATCTGTGTGATTCTGTGAAGGTGGTGACAGGCAACCAGTCTGCCAGTCTCTCTGTAGGAGACTTGGGGCAGGCAGGAAGGAGAGGATTAGCACCTTGTTTACAGTGTGGAGAGCCAGTGCTTGTTGCAAGAGAGAACCACATGGGAAAAGGCATTGAGGTGACATCATGTGTGCTGCTTTGTCCCTGTTAGACTCCTATGGGGCTCAAGAACACGTCTGAGGAGGGAGCTTTGACAAAGTAGTTTTCAAGTGCTGTGTCCCATGACCTGTGTAAGCATATAAGTACAGTTGGTGAACACCTGTATTTACCACTGCTCTTATATCTGTTGCAATCTGATTTAGCTCTCTGTGCCAAATAATTTTTGCAAGAATGAGAAGGCAGCAGCTGAATCTAGGCAAATAAGTGTGCAATATTACCTCCATACCTGTTTGAAGAGAAGCTGACATCAGCATTTCTTAAGCCAGCCTTGATTTCACTTTCATACAAAACTAATAGGTGCTTACTGATGTAACATGCAGTTACCTAGGATTTGCTGCTCTCTCTCAAATATGAATATCTTTAAAGAGCAGCAGGTGGTAGCAATCAGCTTCACCTGTAAGTTGCTAAGTATTTGTCATTTACTCTTCCACAGCAAGCCTCTCTTATGTTTACATGTCTAGTGCTGGACATAAGGACAATTCTTGGAGACAGATTTTTTTGCAAATGTCATGGTACTTTGTTGAGCCTCCAAACTGCCTACAGAGAGTTGGGCAGGTTCCAAGAGCCAGGAAGCACTGCGACTCTTGATCTGTGTCATTAGTGAGGTTTTCCCTGATTTGGTTCTGATTAGTGCTGATGAGTGTTAGGTCCTGCCTGTTACACAGGCTGGAAAACAGATTGCTGATGGTACTTGGTCATCCATTCCCTGTTGGCAGAACATGAAGCAAAGCAGTGTCTCTCTTCTCAGACATGTTGAACTCTTCCAAGAAATGAAGCTGAGCTGATTTCAGAGTACAGCTACCGAGAGCATCTTAATGCAAGAATGGCTGTTTGGGTTGTCGCAAAGGATCATTTTGCTGCCTTAGACAAAATGCTTATCCGAGTTTATTATTTTAACAAAAGCTATAAATTAATTTGGCCAAGAAATGACATGATTTGGGCAAGCTTTGTGAGGATCATGTCCCATCTCTCCCACGTGTATAACCAAGGGCTTTTTAAATAGCAAGAACGCTTAGGCAAGAATCAATGGTAGTCATGTAGTCGTGTTTCATATTTAGATTCGCCAAGACATTGGACTGACCAACCACGTGCCTTTGTTGAAGAAGTCACTGGAGCAATTTGTCTACCGAGTGAAGGCAATGCTGGCGTTCAACCACTGCCAGGAGGCCTTCTGGGTGGGCATCCTTAAAAATCGGGATCTTCAGGTGAGAATCAATGTCCTGCCTGGGGCAATTAAAACCTGGGAAATGACAATGCTCATCTTGCCCACACAACTGTAACTCAGCTCTTGTGTGCGGGTAGAGCTAAGAAGCCAAATTCCCTGTGACTGTATTACAGTCATGTCTAGTGCAGCAGAAAGAAGCGTTTTATTTCAAGATTAAGGCCTTGCATCTCTGGGGGCTTCCTTGCAACGAAGCTTTCGCACCAAAGCAGTCGCTGTTTACTGTGTGTAATGAAGGGGGCATGGAGGATCTCTCCTCTGCTCGCTGGCCAGATCCACACGCAAAGAAGGAAAGAGGTAAAGGTCACTTGAACACCTCCTCATACTCTCTCTTGTGGCTTTAACAGAAGGCAGTTCTGGCAATTTTCTTCATCTTTCACTGTAGAAACAGGACAGCTGAAACAAAGCCTGCTTTTTTACTCAAAAACTGTTTAAGATGGGAACAAAGTGCTGCTTGCTTCAGTCCCATCCTAGGACGCTTGGACTGATTCACATACGCTCAGCGCAGGTCTTTTGTGTTCAACTTAGGGAGAAGAAATTTTGACTCAAGCTTCGGACGAGAGGGACTCCGACCAGGCGGACTCCGCAGAAAGTCCCGCTGAGGTACTGCAGCAGCGAGCCTGCCGCCGCTTCGGG